GGGAAGCCTGCTCACTCCACGCGCTGCTCTCCTGCTGTCCCACGCCTTCGCTCCCCTTGCTCCTTAACCACGCCGTGCTCTCCCTGGCCGCCGCCAGCTGTTGCTCTTGTGCCGCTTGGGCCTCTTCCTCTGCCCTTCCCCCATGCCTGCTTGTCCTGGCTCTGCTTGGCCTCCCGCGCCTTGATTTCCTTGGGCACTGCTGCCAACCTTTCCTGTGGGGCTAACACCTTTGCCTCTCCGCGCTGCTTCGCAGTCCCCTCGTTTTTGGCTTTTGCCTCCACCTCCTCTAGCTCTTGGCCCGTATTTAGCAAATTCTTCTGTGTGGGTCTCTCTCCCTGGCCTCTGCATCCTCCGGCCTTGTGGACATAGTTCTAATCAGCAGGGTAAGCACAGCAACTTCATTAGTGTGGGTTTGGTCCTCATCCAACAGAGTTTGTTCCAATACCTGCAGCCTTTGGCTTGCTGAAAGCAATGGTTCCGCGATGCACACCGGCTCGCCAGTGGCTTCGTCATCAAGTAGGCTGGGACTGCAAGCAGTGCACATTGGAAGGATACGTCTGCAGCAGCAAAGAAACAGAGAATGGGGCCAATTCAGGAGCATCGATCTAATTTGACATGATTTGCTTTGTTTCAATTTTAAGCTGCCACAAGCAGCCACGCCAAAAACCGCGTTGCAAAGGGTGCGAATTGGATGGGGTTAGTAATGGGTGTGGTAGTGGACGTCACGGTAATGGATCCTCCAGATTAGTATTAATTGAGTGCATGCACACCGGCCCTCTGGACTTTGAAAGTGACAAAGTGAAACCCTTCGTCGGAAAGCAATCAGAAAATTAGCGTACCGAACGAAAAAGCTGCCTGACGTGTGTGTTGGAAGGTTGAACTACCGGCCAATGAGCCGGGGGACTGACGAGCTGTCACTCCATACGAGCAGTTTCCACGTGGAAGAAATCATCAATCTAAGCGAATCTTGATCCGTATTTCAAACCGTCAATATGGATTGCAGGTGTTCATCTCCGGATCCATGTAGAAACACGTGGCTTCATGCGAGCCTCAACTTCACAGCACAGCATGCACCGCGTCGAATTCCACGGACCTTTCGACCTTTCCAGTCCGGTATCGATCCAAAAGTTAGTCAGAAGAAAGCCCAGCAAACCAAATGAAGTTCAACCTTATTTTGAGCCGCTCGATGGCCGCCACGTGTACCCCCCGGGCCGAGGCTCCGACGGTCCGCAAAAATCGAGATCAGCGCGGCCGTCGAAAGCCACCGACTGCCGGTTTTGACCCTTTACCGCAGCCATTACCGCTCGTACGGGGCTGCTCGCCACTTGAGCCGTCCCGACTGACTTCACAACGCGGTAACGGCTGCGGTAAAGGCCGCCATTCGTACGGAGGTAGCTAAGTCCCGGGAGTCGGCCTAAATTCTTGAAGCTGCCAATGGCGATTCCCGGGATCTGATTGGCCGGGTCGCACGTACCGAATCTGGAGAATCTTCAATCTGCGGCCGAAATTCATCGGCGGCCGAATTACTTAGACTCCGAAAATTTCGGCGCGCGACTCACTGAACACTGAAGTACCGAGCCTAGGCCTAGCTAGTCTAGCTAGGTCACTACCAGTGGTGCCACTGGGGGCCCACTTACTGGTAAACGGGCCCCCAATGGCCCAAATCGGCCCCCAAAGGCGGAGGCTAGGGGGCCCAACGGGCCCCCAATAAGGAAGCCCAAGGGGCCCAACGGGCCCCCATTGCGGGGCTTCTAGGGGCCCTCGGGCCCCTATAGCTTGAAGTCATGGGGCCCCAACTCCCCCCAGTTACCGAAGTTAAGGTGCCACCGGGGGACAGATCGAGACTTGGCCCCGGAAATACTACGCACCGGCAAGGCATGGTACCTAGGTGGTCCATTGTACAGGTACAGGTATGTACCAACAAGTGAATGGATACCTACCCCGGACCCCGTCGGTCACATCATGAATTAGCTACGGTACCTACGAACGATATCACTGTGCACTGTACAGCCAATCTACGGTGTTGGAATGCCCTGTCAATATCGAACGGGCGAAATTTCTACCATTATTTCAGTGCGCCGTCAAACTTAAACCACCACCCACAGTTTATAACCGGGCAAACCGGTGTTCAGTTGTGACCAACGGTCACCGAAAATACGAATTGGAGCGAGGGCGCACGGTTTTGACTGTTGCAAAATGGCGCTTATAGAGCTTGAAAACTTGACCATTTCTTCATGGAATCCGGCGGTCTTTCGTCGCGCAGGCCGGGACCACTCAACATGACTGGCTTCCATCGAAACCGCCGCTCGAAACGACCAAAAACCATGCATTTTCAAGTGGGCTACAGCATTGGTCGTATGCATGCGCCATTGTCAATTTTCAAGTTCGCAAACTTGACTTTGACCAATCCTGATACAGGACCCTAAATACTGCAGGTGGTGGTTTAAGACTAGCTAATTGCTAGTCCTTTTTATCATATGGATTGGCTTTACTTGGCACGTACGGCCCTAGGGCCATGCCTATGGGGATTCAGAAACCCAACCGAGGGCCCCCAATCACACGGGTGGAGGGGGCCTTGGGCCCCCATTGAACGCTCTGGAGGGGCCCAACGGGCCCCCATTGAGCGTAGCTTGGGGGCCCTTGGGCCCCCAATTGAAAAAGTTAGCGGCAACACTGGTCACTACTGAGTACTTCAGTTTCGCAAGTAGCACAAAGAAGCTCATTCAAATAGTGTTACAGCCACTTCTGATAGGTGAAAATAGGCCGATGACGTCAATGTACAATACGCTATGACGACCACACTAAAAACCTAACCATTAGGCTGGTCACCCTAAAAAGTCGCTTGCCTAAAACCCTAAAAACCATCCCCCGGAAGGCCGGTCACCCTAATAAGGGAAGCCTGCGACCCTAAAGAGTCCCCGGGGCACAAAACCCTAAGGAGGGTTGGCCGGTCACCCTAAAAAGCTACCAGCTGCCGACGTCACCCTAGAACCACAAAATCCCTCTCGTTTAAATCCAACGGCTGGGATGAAGGTCGGATTATTTTACACCCGTCAGAGTGGCCGTAACACTATTTGAATGGGCTTCTTTGTCCCTACTCGAAAAACGGTCGAATTTCGCAAAATCTGCCGAGTTCCGACCTACGTACGGCGGTCCAATCAGATCGTGAGGATCTGTCACATCCAAATTGGCAGCTTCAATAATAAAGGCCTAGGGCCCGGGCATCTTAGCTACCTTATGTCCGGTCGAGTCGGTGGGGCGCGGCCAGGTGGTGCCCATGGCATCACCGCGCAGTGTGTCCGAAAAGCCCGGGGTCCGACCGTACTAGCTGCGGCCACGTGGTACGGAGCGCCCGGGGCGAGTTTGGTACTAAACTCATGAGTTAGAATGCAAGGTCGCGCGCGGCCAACTGGGTCTCGGTACTCGCGCGACCCACCGGTTCTGAAATATCGACTGCGTGGTAATGGTAACTGAGCACGGTAAAGACTGCAGGCCATAGCAGGCCTTTGACACTGCCCACGCTCGCCCGGCAGACGGGCGGACGTCCCATCGTACGATGCGTGTTCTCCCCGTATACAGTACGTCGATTTGCGACGTCTTTTGCCGTCAGTAGAGGCTAGGCTAGTGTAGTGTCAGTACTAGGGTAGGCTATGCAAGTATAGTGTTAGTACTAGGAAGTAGCGCAAGTGACTCAAAAAGTCAAGACTAGGATTGAAGGCATTTGCGGATTATGCACTGCATGCCAGCCAGCCGCCCTAGAAGCACAGGAGCGCTAGCCCTAGAGCGCTACAGGAGCTGTAACAACGCTGGAGAAGCTCTCGAGAGCCTCTTGAAGGAGATAAGGAGAGCACTGTGACTTGACAGCAAGAAGCAGTCATGCTGCGGCAGTGGGACCCTGACGAGCTCCAGCTTGAGCGATTTGTAGAAAGGCAGGACGCAGATCCCGATGGGCCTTGGGGTGCTCTGTTACCTTACACAACAACTGGAAAATTAAAGGACAATTTTCTTGCTGGGAAGAAGAGACCAAAGGAGGAACGGCGCCTCGTTAAGTTCGCACAGCAGAGCCGCAGGCCCCTAGATCATGTCCGCTTACCTTTTCTGACATGGCAGGAATCTGGTTTCACCGCCACTGGTAGCAGTGTCAATCTCCTCCCCTACTCCTGTGAGATTGTGAAGTGCTCCACTTCCTGGCACAATTTCTCAGCCGATAGCCACAACTTGCGATTTGTCTCGCTCCCTATTTACCATGGCACTCCGTTCACTGGCACCGGGGTTGGGGACCCGGATGATTTTGAGATCGCTTCGCCCTTGTCAAGGAGGCTGGATGAGGTGGAGTTTGTCGCGACAGGAACGCCACAGAGCAGTCCTGTAAAGGCTGAAGAAGACTTGTTGACAGATGCCTCTAGTGATACGTCTTCCACCCCCACGTCTTCTGATGGAGATTCATTGCCAGAGGTAAGAGCGTGCATGAGAGCAAAGTACACTTTTTCCTGTCAGTGTTCTGCTCATTTGACTTTCATGTTGATACGGATTTGCAGTAGCAGCACCTCAGAAACGGGGCTGTGACTTTACTGCGGCATTTTTGCCGTATCTGTGCATCCAGTGGCAACAAACTTCATTTTTTGCTAGCGTTGACCTGCTGTTGGTATAGGATCAGACGTTCTTTTCCGCTTGCAGCCAGTATGTTACAAGTCGAATGAAGAAATTATTAGGGTTGAGAGCAGGTGCCGCTATATCTTTCCAGGAGACTCGTCTTCACAACTTTCCCGTGCTGATGTCTGCAGGACGATGTTCTGCGCATCGGTGCCAACCTGCAAACTCCTGTAATGGAAGGTGCAGACCTGGTCGTGGGACACCTGAAGAAAGTGAAGAGACTCTCCCGCGACAGCAGGTTCCGATTCTGCCTGTTGGATGTTGGCCAGGATCAAGACATTGCGGTGATGTCAGCAGCAGCCAATGTGAGGGCTGGAGTAAAGGTGTTGGTCTGTCTGGAGGGTGGCACGGTATTGGGAACAGGAGAGGTGGTGCATGCAGTGATCATCGAGGACGTAGAGAGCAGGGGCATACTCTGCGGCCCAGTAGAGCTTGGATGGGAAGAAGGGGCATCGGGGGAGAGCGTGGTGCATCTGTCATGGGATTTTGAGGTTGGGGATGTAGTTGAGTGGGGGTACTTCGAAGAAGAAACCGTGCGGGAAAGCTTGACAAATTGGACACTCAAACATGATGTGGAAGATAGCAGCGGGGCCAGTGTATCAGCAGGTGATGAAGCTGCCGCAGGAGAAGTAGAGTCTGAGCTGGACCGGGAGGGGGACGATGACTCTGATACAAGTGGACTAGAGACAGCTAAGGTAAGGAACAGGTGCCTAAGTGCGTCCAACAGGGTTGTTTGACCCCTTGGTGTACGGCTTTCTTTGAACTTGCCTGAAACCTGAAGCTACAGCCTTTTTGAAAATCGAGGGCAGTCGTCTAGCTGACAAGCGCCGTTTGCAGGTTTCTCCTTCGAGTTGCCTCGGACAAGTTGGTTGGAGGGTCACTATTTTTTGAGGTCTTGTTCCTGGTTTCTATTAGGGTTTGGTGGCCGCGTAACATTCTTCTGCTTGTTACCTAGTCAAATTTCTCTGTCAGCAGTATCTGGTTCAATGCAGAACATAAAGCGGGACCGGTGGCCTTGAAGGCACTCGCTTTGTGTTAAGAAGGAAGCTTGTCTTGTTGCGGCTGCTTAATATTACTTCTGCGTATAGCTCTCCTTCTGTGCACTGCAGAGAAGGCCACGGAGAAGGTTCAGCTCAAAGAAGCCCACCTCTGAAGGCGAACTAGAGCTACCGCACCATCACCGCATACAGGTGCAGAAGGTGAGTGGCCGACATGTGGGCAAACAGACAGCTCCATCGGGTCTCAAGGTAAGGCTTGGATTCAAGTGACTTCTGCTTGCTTCTACCTCGAAGCTATGTTGTGGAGGTCTGTAGCCAGCGTGCCAAGGATGGACGTGTCAGATTAAGGGAAGGCTGGCCCGAATAGTCTCATAGAGTGGTGACTGCCGACTGCGTGTTTCAAGTGGCCTTGTGAAGGCTTTTCCTCGCTGATGTCGGTTCCAAAGGACGTTGATTCCGAGCGTCTTGATGTATGGATCGACTGACTAATTTGAGTAAGTATTCTACCATAACTGAAATTTCACAGTTGGTCAGGTAGTGGAACGGCCAGAGTGAGTTTTCTGGAAGGCATGATGGCTTGCTGAGCACGTGGGTGTCACAGAAGCGGCATACCTTTGCATACGGCGTTTGTAAGGAAGCGCCCAGAGTAGGAGGTGTTGATCAATAGCTTTCAAGAAGGATGCAGGCCAGCTCCGCTCATGGGGTTACCTTGTTCTGCTTTTCTGTGCAGAGTGCGGGTAAGGTGGACGAGCTGGCTGGCCGTGAGCAAATGGGGGCCACGCCGAAAGCTCTCTCGTATGTTTCCAGAAGTGGGGCGGAGGTAAGCAGCGCAAGGACCAAGTGCAATGCCTTACATGAAGCATAACCCTGGGTTTGCTGTAGTGGAAATGCTGCAGACGGTTGTTGTCTTCCCGCAATCTGCTCTCTCAGGATCATGTGTGCTTGTGTTCTCTGTCCATAGGGCCACTCTATTGCAGCAACTGCATCATGAGTTAGCGGAGCTCTGATGGGTTAGCATGCTGAGTAAGCGATTGATTTTGGCTGACTTCGCGGTCTGCAGTCCCCTAGAACTCCAACGACTCCAAGAACACCAAAGAGAGAGAGCTCCCATGGATCTGCTGTCACTGACGTAAGTACTGGGACGTGGCCTTGGTACAATATCCATTGGGCTTGCAAGCTTGAAGTGGTGTGCATGATGTGCTGTCAAGGAATCAACCGGCAAATTTGTGCTCAACCAGGCACTGCGCATATCTGGTCCGCTACTGATCACTTTGTAAGCTGTGCCACCATCAAGAAGCCGATAGTCCCTGTCCCACTCTCAAAATGTGTGATCACTAGCATCTTGCTGTTCACTGGCATGTCGCTGTCTTTCTTGCAGTACCCGTACCCGCGCAAGGTGCGCGACATATTCTTCTTCGAGATGCGCACGAGGCCGGAGTGGGCCTCGTGCAGATCGTTCTTCGTCCCTAGCGGGCGCTCGCTGACGATCTCTAAGGTCGTCAAAGGCAGTCTTCGCGGGGGTGACGTTGTGATCTTGTTTGGATATCCAGGTGAGGCTGGCGTGCTGCTGGAGTCCCAGTCCAGCCTTTGACACCTTCCATTCAGTCTGCATCCTCTTCCCATGCTCGCTGCTTCACCCAAGCCTTTTTCTTGCTCACAAGAGATGTGAATTTCGTGAGCTAAGAGGATATCACTGGTTTCCTTTTTCCTCGACAAGTGCGCTTCGAGTTGTCGTTTTCACTTCCTGCATGAAGACGTCCTATCCTTGTCTGCAGGAGAGGACGTGACAGAGTCCGTTTTCATCCAGAATTACGATATGACCCCAGCTGAGGCCTCCGTGGCCGTGCGGCAGGTCAAACGCTTGTACGTGAAGGACACTCTGTCAATCTCGGTCGGACGAGTGTCAGCAATGTCGCAGTGGGTAGTTATTCACAACCTGAGCACCATCCGAGGGACGTCCGGTGGCGGGGGATCCGTGCTAGAGGAACCGTTTGCCTTGTTGTTTGTCCACAGCCGCACCCACAGCGACAGGCCAGAAGAAGCAAACCTGGCGATTTCGGTCGATAACCCGCTTTTCATCGCCATGTATTGCCACGAGGTCCTGCCTGAAATCGTCAAACTTGACGACAGCAAGTGGCCCGAAGGACATGCGGGGTACATGAAGCAGCGGCTGGCAGAGTGGTTAAAGAAGCACGAGGTCTTCATTGAGAAGCTGGGATACGCTGAGGTTGCCGGTAGGTTTCTGGACAGGGTCTGATTGTCGAGTGACTCAAATCGAAGGCGAGAGGTAGGAAGTTTGCCACTATCAAGCCACATCCGTTCAAAAGGATGGGGCTTTGTGTTTGCAGATAGATTGTACTTGAGTACTAGCATGTACTTGAGTACTAGCATCTCATGAAGGTGTATGATTGTTTCTGAAAGTATGAAGAGCCAATCTTTCCAAAGACGCTAGAGTGGATCCGAGTCCTTCTTCAGTTAGCATGTGTAGAGATGTAACCTGCTTTGCGACTCCTCAATAACATAAGTGGGATTGAAGTTGGATCAGGATCGACGGATTTGGCCGTGCTTATGCTCCTAAAGGTTTTCAAGAGGTTCTTTAGCTCTAAGCAGAGAGTTTTCAGGCATGAATGTCTACACCATACAGACCCAAATCGCTGATTCGAATGTCTGACATGGCTGCCATGCACAATGAGTCATGCTAACATTGGACGTACACACATGACACATGCAAGGAGAAATTCTCAAAGTCTGTCGGAGTATATTGAGTGCACATGGCAAAAGCTGCCTCTTTGCCTCATGATTGTTGCACTTGAGTTTGCCAAGGTGGTCCATCTTAACAAGCCGCGGGGGAGGTTGACGGGCCCCTTTTCGGTCAACGAGACATCTAAAAGCCGCCCGCCATAAGCACTCAAATGCGGCACCAGAAACAACTTGGGCGCAACAAAGGTCGGAAGGAACGTGCCTCCTTTCAAATCCCCAAGAGCGCAGCCGACCCAAGTACTTTGGGGTCGGGCCGGACTCGACGGGCCTCTTCACCACCCGTCTAGCCGTCTGGCCGTCTCCTTGCAGCACGGGCACGTCTCTAGATTTCGCCACTGAATGAAGAACTAGTGCCATCCCTCTGCCGCAGGCTGCCCCAATTGTGCCTCGCATGCAAAGCTCCTTTGCATGACAATGACCCTCGGAAAGCCTCATACTTTTTGAACTTTTGTTCTCATTTTTTCGAAGAACCTTTTGCCCCATGAGATTCATGAGTTTCTCTGCATAAGTGGGGGCCCGGGTGAAAGCAGAGCTAACTCCACTGACCGAGGCAGTGCTTTTTGTTTTTGGCGACCTCAGCACGTAACCCTCTTCAATTTTTGAGCTAACCCGTCTACGGGGATATTTGACACTCAAATAGTACAGTAACCCGAACGCGACGGGGTTCAATGTCAACAAACGGTCGCCGCCAGACTTCGTGATCGGTCCACATGGGGGCGGAAAAGCTAAACCGGCCGGGGGGCAGGGGAACAAGGCGAGTGTTCGCCCCCACTTTGCAAAACACGGACCACCAGCAACGTGTATATAGTTTTGTGAAGCTCGATGTCTGCATCGCCGCCGAGATACTTTAAGTGGGTGGTGCTTCGGCCCAAAAGCACGGTGTGCCAGCAAAAAGTACACGAATGGGGGACATATCTGACGTGTCAGGTTTTGAGGCTAGATCATTGGGCTAGTGTACTAGTGTATGCTCTTCTTGGAAGGATCTGGAGGTCCCGAGTCAAACCCATCGGCCTTAGGGTACAGATTTCCTTTTATGATTTTTTCCCAGCTAGCACGTGCGGTCATAAAAAATCATAAAAGGAAATCTGTACCCTAAGGCCGATGGGTTTGACTCGGGACCTCTAGATCCTCCCAAGAAGAGCACACACTAGTACACACAGCCAATGATTGGGAAAAACTAAGTACCTGCAGGAAAACGCACAGGTCCGCGTGCCCCGGGGTGCTTTGCCACAGGGATGGGACCCCCCCCGGGGGGGGGGGCAGAATTTGCGAGAAAACAAAGCGTGTGTTCGCCCCTCCGTACCCACCGCAGTCAAAATTTGTCATGATATATGTACTAAAGACTATATGAATTACTTGCAAAAATCGACTGAATTTTTCGGGACCGTCCGCTGCCGATTGCGTTGAATCCCGACCGTTCGATCGCGCGTCGACGGTCTTTCAAAAGCGGTTGCGGTTTCCTCCCCGGCGGACCGCCGAAGCTGACTTGGCACGCCCGGCGGGCAGCCGACATGTTCCAGAAGGCTCCGATTGGTGGGGAAAGTGCCCCAACTCATCACTCTCCCGCCTCTTTAATTCAAACCTATTGCCGACCAGCCGCTCAGGGGCGCAACAAAAGCATCATCGCAAGTGCAGCGCTGCCTCCTCAAAGCTTTGCATCTCAGCGCCCATCGCAAGCATGGCAGCACGACCAGTCCATGGCTTGCAGTCAGTGGATCAGTTTGCAGATTTCCAGAGAAGTATGCGCCTATCAGGAACTCAGGCTCACCATGATGCTGTGGAAGAAACGAGCGCTCATGCCAGCTACCAGGTGAGCTTCAAGAGCTCGCAGGTCAGCTCCGTCGTCAACCTAGGGTTTCTGACTGGCATCAGCTCCATCACAAGGCCAGCTCCAGTCATGCTCCTGTTTCTCAGCTCTACTCCAGGATTTGGTGCGCCTGATAGCCAGAGCTCCCAATCAATTTGTGTATGCTTCCAGGCCATGGCTGCGGCCCGGGGTGGCAGCTCCACGGATAAAAATAAGTATGATAAATTCAAATAAAAACAAGTATCATCGAGATTCTGAACATATCTGTAAATTCTGCTTGCACAGTCGCATTTGTCTCCTCGAGTTGAGCACGTATCACCTCTTTTATTCAGAATTTGTCAAAGGTGGGGTATGTTTATCCAATTTATTTGGCCCGATAAATATGAAATACTTCCAAAAGCAGGGTGCCAGCACGGATATGCCAGGATTCGGGCCTGAATATATTTAATAATATTGGATATTGTGGATTTTATTCAAAGTATCGGTTAAAAACTGAATATATTAAATATATCCAATAATTTATAGGTGCAAACATGCCAAAAGCAAGCTTGGATATCGATATTTTGACGAATATTCAATTTATTTATCGATAAATATATCAAGAAAGCAAGCCCTTCGATCGTCTAATATTCTGGCAGGTGCTACAGTTTATCAAGGAAGCTACCACCCCGGGGGCTGCGGTCTCCCCATCATCATGCTGCAACAGCGCATCGCTCTCAGAGGGCTCCTCCAGAGGCAGTCTAGACTCGTCCGACGGTGGTCGGATGCAGTCGCCGGTGAGCTCTCTCTGGGATCTTGCGTTACCTTCCAACCATCCATTGATGATCGATGCATGGTCCTTCCAAAGGATTGACAGCTGTTGTTTGCGAGTCGTGCGGGATGCCTTTGGAGTTTCGTCTGCCAAGCCTAGGCCCCAGACGGAATTTGCGAGCTAGCGCGTAGTTCTGCTT